TAGGTAGTGATCTACGGCTCCGGCTTGAAGTGCAGGAGTAGGAACGGGGTGGTTTTTTGTCAGTAAGAGTCTGACACTCCTTCTGGCCTCACCCGGGCGGGAAAAGTTATTGGATGATTTTCCCCCCTAAAAAAAAGGTATAGGTAAGGTATATATATCTACCAATATCTTATATTCTTATACTATTATATAAAGCGGAAGAGTTTGTTTTTTGTTTGTTTATTTGGTGGGGTACGGGGTGGTTTTTAATCAGTAAGAGTCTGGCACTCTCTCTCGCTTCACATCGATTTTCCTTCCTCAAAAGTAAAGTTACTTCGAAAATAATTTGCTAACCTCGACACTGCAGGTAATTAATCGGTCTTAGGGTCTTGGGTATTACGTAGAAGTCACATAGGTATAAAAGATTGAATTTCAGTTATAATCCAGTTATTACTTCGTTGACAGATGACATTTGAATCTTAGGATCAAGTTTCTGAAATCCCAGGTACCTGGGCACCTGAAATATGTACGAGAAGGCCCGTTGTAAGACCCTGGCATTAATCTAGGCTAGACAAGTCTGTGACAGAAATCTTAAAGGGGCCTAGGCACACATATACATAGGTACCTTTTGAGAAAATAAACCAGTTTTATCAGGACAGAAATATAGGGTATCCAATTATTTTGTTCTGATGTGATTTAATACTACACTAACGTTGCTACCTGGAATACAAGAGTATTCAAATAAAGACAGTTGTTTTATTCTATACGTAGACACTTTCGATCCTTTGTTTTTTGGTTTCATTTGCGACACTAACGGTGGTATTACGATCTCCGGCCACCGTAAGCGCGGGCCTGCGGACGGTGAGTGGGTAGCTCCCCATCCGACCAGAAACAGACTCGAGCATGCGGCACGTCGCGTTCCGCGTACACCTCAAAGAGTCATCAGACCACCACGGATGGGGCCCAACAGGGCTGATACCGATTGGGAGTAGCGGAGCACCTAACGGGTTACCGGGGCTCCGGCTCGACGTGCAGGAGTAGGAACGGGGTGGTTTTTAGTCAGTAAGAGTCTGACACTCCCTGCTGCCTCACCCAGACGGGAGACGGGAGCAGTCATTCGATGACATTCCCCCCTTAAAAAAAAACGGTGGTATTGATGTCATTCATGTTCTTAGAAATCTTAGTAGGAACTTAATAGTACTAAGTCTGTTAACCTATGCCGAAAAGGGCCGTTGCCTCGTTGCTACGTGTAATGCATCTTTGCCTAAAACAAAACGCATGCTTGATATGGTACTGTGGGTACCTAAACTTGTTTCGTGGTTGCAATTCGGTATGTGTGAGATGTAAAATTGGAACAGTACAGAACACTGAACTACTAGAACTACTGTTCAGACTCGACTTGACTTTAAAGTTTAAACTTTTAAAGAGACTGGAACAAATTTCAATTTTGAATAGTTTTAGTTTTAGCATAATATACACAATATCACGCCTTTTATCCCCGAAAGGGTAAAAAGACGTGCACATTACGGCACTTAGTGCCACTGTACAATGTGACACTCGCTTTTCACTATTTATGTTATGAATACCATGTAATAAGGGGTGAGCCTATGCCCACCGGGCACAATTCCAGACTCACCGACAGGCAGATAATTTTTTTTAAATCCAGTGTTCCTGACAAGGCAGTTGCACTTGCGACCACTCAACCAACGGGGCAGTTTTAGTCTTAGCCAGTAAATTGAAACTATGTTATGTATTTTGGAGAAGCCTATCTTAAAGTTCAACACGTCAAATCAAGAGCTGCACTCTCGTCAGAGTGCAGATGAAGATTGCAAAACTTCCTTATACCATCCTACATTGAATCGTACGATAAATCCAAAGAAATTGTTGTAGGGTTCTTAGGTCTTTTAGTTACTGAATTTTTTTTAAGGGGGGAAAATTATCGAATGCCTTCCCCCGCCTGGGTGAGGCGGGAGGGAGTGTCAGACTCTTACTGATTAAAAACTACCCCGTTCTTTCTACACGTCGAGCCGAATCCCCAGTAACCCTGGATTGCGTTACTTTATCGTTAAAAATTTCATAGTATTAATGTTATTGGAACGTTTTCACGTTTTGTTATGATTCATGAATAAACTAGATTTATTATTGGCTACCTACATAATAGGTAGGTACTCTTGTCCTAGAATCAACGTGATCAACGACTCGATCCGATCCGTCCGACAAATCGTTAACAGTAAAATAATTTACCAAATACACCGGTGAACTGTCGAAGAGGACTGTACCTATGTTCATAAAGTCTCGCTTCAATTGAGGTGAACCACAAATGTAAACATGTAACCCAAGGAAGTTTGTACAGATAGGAACTTGCTTACTTGTACGTGAAAACTTTATTAGTATGTATACCAAGATGTGAGGTGCTGGTGATGTTTTTGCACGATGAGTAAAACCTTTTTAACTCCAGTAAGTATAGATATAGTATAGATAAACGGATTGAGGGGGACTGGGATGCCGTCTCATCCTTCTGCGAAGCAGTCATGCTACCTAAGGAGGAGGCGGGGCGCGTGAGGGAACGAATCTCCTTACGCCCCAGCAATCACGGTAGTCACTCTGAGCGTCGGGGATCGCGAGACGATTTGCGGTCACCGTAAGCGCGGCCCTTCGGACGGCGAGCACGGGTGACTCGAGCGTACGGCGCGTCGCGATTTGCATGCGCCTCAAGGTGCCTTCAGACCATCACAGATGGGGCCCAATAGGGCTGATGCCAATACGGAGGCTTGAAATATAACAAACTATCTGTCCTCATCCTCTTCTTCTCCTCATCATCGTTATATTACCAGCTTAGCAAAGTCCATTGCTAGATAAAAGTCTCTTCCAAGGCGTAGGTACCACAATACCTCATTGTTAATCTTTTGCAACTAACAAATTTAAACAATTTTTAACAATCAAAAGACGAGCTTGCATGAAAAGACTGATGACTGTTGAAGAAGCGAAAGAAGTATGTCAGAATCGTAGCAATTGGCGTTCCATAGCCTCTGTTTACCCCCTTGGAAGACAGGCGTGGGGTTTTGTATGTACTTATGTATGTTTTAACAACCAAACGAAATTTTTTAGAAGACTGCGGATAGACAAATTATTCAAACTTTGACTATGAAAAGAGGAGTTTTTTTTAAGGGGGGAAAATCATCGAATGACTTCTCCCGCCTGGATGAGGCGGGAGGGAGTGTCAGACTCTTACTGACTAAAAACCACTCCTGCACTCCGTTCCTACTCCTGCACTTCGAGCCGGAGCCCCGGTAACCCGTTAGGTTCTCCGCGACATGAAAAGAGGAGTAGGAAAAGAATAGTTAGGTAATCACACTTTGAACGCATAAATAAATATGTACCTATTCACATAAAAGCTATTGGATTCCGTATATTCGATGGAACCCTAAAATTGTGTCGTCGGCGGTCTCTTATGTGTACCTATACTAGAAATGTATTTCTCCTGAGTATTGCTTTGAAATCACTTCCATGTTCATCGTTTGTAGGTAAAGCTAGGTTTATTCTGTATACTATGTTATTCACTATGGATCTTCAACGATCTGCTATTGGCATGTAGGTAAATAATATACATACTATTATAACTGTTGTCGTTGCTACCGAAAATGTGTTTCGTGTTTGTATGTGACAGGGTCCATATTGAACTACATCTATTGTTTTATTACTTCACTGTACAGTCGCTTTTGATGGACGTACGTATGTATGAAGGTAAAATTGGGCATAATTTTTCAATAAGTATTGATGATTTTCCATAGTAACAGGGGGAGCAATGCCCCATAAAATAAAATGACAGACAGATTTGCAATTTAAAAAAAACTTTAATGTCACTAAATATTGCGATATACACATTTATCTGATTGTAATCGTAGAGCATAAAGATATTGTTAAAATGTTTTTCTTTTCAATAGCACCAATACACAATACATTTTCGTTCATATTACCAGTAGGTACATATTTGATCAGAAAGCGCATATTCGATTCATTTCGTGCTTGATAAGGTCATTCGTACCATTTGGTTTCTATTGAACAATATCCTGACTGCCTCGTTGACCGAGTGGTCGCAAGTGTGACTGCCGGGCAAAGGGTCTCGGGTTCGATTCCCGGGTCGGGCATAGTATTACTGGGTTTTTAAAAAATCTCAGTGTTAGCACGGAGTCTGAAAATGTGCCCGGTATAGGCTCGCCCCCTAATACCCCTATTACATAGGACTCATAACATAAATAGTGAGAAGTGGGTGTTACTTCTATGTGCACCTTTGCATACCACTTCGGGGATAATAGGCGTGATGTTATGATATGGTACATATTTGATCAGAAAGCGCATATTCGTTTCATTTCGTTCCTGTTATAACCATAACAGGAAAATGGTATAAATAACCATTTATACCATTTGGTTTCTATTGAACAATATCCTCACGAGGTCGATTGGGGTCTGTCGTCATAATCTTAAGGGATCAAATATATTTTCCCTATGGATTCTAGTATCTCATCTACATTGAATTGTGACCGGAATTAAGAACCTCACAATTTATTGGATACTAGTTTTTACCCGCGGCTTCGTTCGCGTCACAAAAGGATAAAAGTAGTCTATGTGACATATACCAATACACACAGCTCCATCTATACCAATAATTTCATTTTCCCTCGAGTATATCAAATTTTTACGAGATAAAAAGTATCCTATTATTTAATCCACACTTCTAACTTTACGTCTGAAAAAATTCAAAGCAATCGGTCTAGTAGTTACTGCGTGAAAGCGAAACAAACAAACTCACTTTCCGATTTATAATATTAGTAATAATTAAATTTGTCAGAAAAGGTCATGTCGGCGACTTGTAGATGTCCGAGAATTTCTTTTGTAGGTAGATATTGCATCATTATAAGTTTTGATAACCGTAGTAGGTAGGTAGTAAGTATCAGATTTACTTGCAACGCAATTAACTCGTAACGATAGACGATACCCCAACTGCAAAGTGTGGGAGACCCATGCTTCGGCACGAATGGGCCGGCTCGACCAGAGTGATACCACGGCCTCACAGACGACCGACGTGAAAAAACGTTGTGTTGTGTTTCGTCGTGTGAGTGAGGTTACCGGAGACCCAATTACCCCCCCCCCCCTCACTTTCCCCAATCCCTGAACTGAATCCCCAACAATCCTCAAATTCATAATCCAGAAGGCCGGTAACGCATTTGTAATGCTTCCGGTGTTCCAGGTGTCCGTGGGCGACGCCGATTGCTTACCATCAGGTGATCCGTCTGCTCGTTTCGGTAAACGAGAAGCCGGTGCTTATCCCATAAAAAAAACATGACGACACCTCGCCATTATTATTAAAATGCTTCACCAGTTTTCAGAAAACACAACTACATATAAAAAGAAAGTTTTTAAAAGGTGGGTACATATTTACTTACGCTTCATAGCTAGGTAAGTCAGCTGACAGTTGATTGGAAGAGCTATGAAAGCCAACGGACGGACGGAAATTGGAAATCTCACGGCGTAATAGAAGTTTCACTGTTCAACTGCAGCGGGCTTTTTGAATCTCTCCTGCATGCGTTGTCAAGTAGACTTCTTGCATTCAGGTATGGTTGTGAATTGGCTTTTGTTTTTGAACTTTTAATATACAACATGTAACTTAAATAACGCACATCCTGAAAATAGTTTGTTCAGAATCGTTAACTAAATCGATTTATATAATTTTTAGTATAGAATAAACTACGGAAATTATTGTCATATTAACCCTGTATCGTTAAAACCAGTTAAAACAAATAGAAATGGACCGTAAGTCAAAGCAATAAGACTTTTAAAATCGCAGTTTTATTTGTATTCATACAAATTCTATCATTCAATACAAAATAAAGAAAAATAAACCTTATGACAAGACTAGTAAGGATGCATAAACATGTTACATTAAAAATTTAGTGTATGTATTACGATTATAACATAATATTCTAATTGGGGTGTTTGAGGGTGTGCGTTAATTACGTTACATATTGTATAAAGGTACTGTTAAATATACTCTAAAATAGCATACTTACGCTCGAATATTGAAAGGCTACTCAATTTTAAGCCACGCTTAAAGTAGGTAATAAGAACGCTGTAGTTCTGTCCCTACAAATCCTTTGTAAAACGACAGAGACGGCACGATATTTAGGTTCAACTTAAAACGAGATAATCAGCATTTTATTACAAAATTACATACATAAATAAAATTAATATTAACTAATACTAAATGAAAATATATACAACTTAAAATATAAATAACTATGACCTAAAATATTTACACCTCAAAAAAAAAAATAATAACAAAAAAGCTATCATAAGGCATCAAAAAAAAAAATACTACTTAATAATTTAATAATAATTATAATTAATACTTAAAATTGAGTAGTAGTAGGTAGTACTCGGGTGTAGATGTGTCGGGATCACACAAAGAGTTGCCCCGTGCGGGAATTGAACCTGCTACACGTTGTGCTGCGGCCAGTTGCCGTGCAGTCAAACTGTTTTATTTTATTTTTATTTTATTTTTTCTTCTTCACAAAATACAGTGAATGGCGGACTTAATGCCTTAAGGCATTCTCTTACAGTCAACCATAGGGAAGTGCAGAGAAATGAAGTTTTAATCAACATTGTTACGAAGTGACAAGTTTGTAATGAGGGCTACCGTATTTTTAGTCAGCAGATAACGCAAACGTAGAAAAAGATTTTTAGTCCAATCACAGCAGTTATCAAATATTGAACGTCCAATGGGGTGATACTAGCTAATTCCCTATTGGACGAAGAACGAGACGTTAACACTAGCGGCATCTGGTGAGAAAAAATACGATAGCTCCCGCCTCCCATTGAAGTATGCTTTCGTGCTTCAAATTAGAATTTCTAACATTAGTTTTAATCTAAACAAAATAAAATCTTCTAATATATAAAATTCTCGTGTCACAGTTTTCGTTGCCATACTCCTCCGAAACGGCTTGACCGATTTTAATGATTTTTTTTGTACTTATCCGGTATCTATGAGAATCGGCCAACATCTATTTTTCATCCCCCTAAATGTTAGGGGTAGTCCACCCCTAATTTTTTTTTATTTTATAGACAAAATTTTTATTTTCAATTTTTTATGCTACAACATACAAAAATACATACAATCCTCAAATTTCACCCTTGTTCGAAATTATTTATATGGCAAAGCAACGTTTGCCGGGTCAGCTAGTGTTAAAATATATTCCGTTGTTTTATGATTGACTGATAGATAACTTTGGTAAATAATTGGCAATTAGCATACAGGTTCCTTATGGGACTCAAGGTATTAAGAGAGAGTCACCGAAATTTCTGTGTGTGTGTGTGTGTGTGTGTGTGTGGGACGGAATGTCTTCTAATCCTATAGTAATATCATATGGCACCATAAGCTAGGTAGTTTTGGTGTATGTCATTGGTTTCAGTGTTTCTTCTCATTTAATAGTCAGATACTCTGTTCCCAAACTGAATGAATTTTGTACGACATACCATCTTATGATGTCATCATATTTTCGCGTCATGTCATCATATAGCACACTTATATCTAAAAGAAATGCAAGAATAAATTAAGTATATCGGCAAATCAATGAATGAAAGTGTAACTATTTTTCAAAATCTAATTGGAATGAAAAATCAAAATAATGTAATTTTGACCCAGGACCCAATTCAATCTTAAACTGTCAAACACCGCGAGGACACCGGTGACCGCAACCTATTGTTCTTTAATTGTGTCTATAATGACGATACTCAAAGAGTTAATCTCACAAAGCAATCGGTGTTTACAATAAAACTTCCTAAATTATTCCGCTCTCAAACTAATGGAGTAAAAGTAAAATCGAAACAAACTCTATTATTTGAACTTTATTATTAAAGCCACAAATATTAAATTAAATTAACAATTTGACGCAGTCCTTGTCGATGGATCCCTTATTTCATGTTATCTTGTCAATCAGAAGGCAATAAGTACTTTCGAAGCTAAAACATTTCTGGAACCAGTCTCTGGTTGAATAATGTCTTTTGAGATTTAGTTAATTAAATTTTAAGTACATAACGAAGGAGAAAATAACTTCGTCTAACAGCTTTGTTTAATAATGGAGAACAGAAATTCAATTGTATTTTTTAGATTGTTTTGTTTGTCTTCGTTGGTATTCGACGAAAAATATGTATATAGTTAGTATAAATATTATTATAACAAACACAAAAACAATATTTCAACTGTCAAACACCAAGCGGTCACCGGTGACCGCAACCTATTGTTCTTTAACTCGTCGAGTACCGGTTTTATAGACACAATTAAAGAACAATAGGTCGCGGTCACCGGTGACTGCTTGGTGTTTGACAGTTTAATTGTGTCTATAAATACGGTACTCGACGAGTTAATGAAAAAAAAAATCCAATTATTCAACTGTTCAGCAGTTGATCGAGTCCATTTAATCTCCGGATATTGTTTCGTCTTCTGTTTTCGGATGTGGTTTTTCTGCCCAAATAAGTGCTAAGCCCAGCACGAAATGTCTACAATACTCTTTATCTTTTGACTAACTTTTACCCGTGGCTTCGCTCGCGTCACAAAAGGATAAAAAGTATCCTATGTGACTATATATCCATCCGTTCAACTACCTTCAGTTAAAAAATCGCGTTAATTAGTACCTCCGTTCTGCCGTTTAAGACAGGCAAACAAACAAATAGCTTTCCGCTCGCATGGAATTCGGTTATATCGCGCTATTTATATTTTTCCAATAAGTAGGTAATTCGTTGACTGGTTTTAAATGACATAAAACGCCATCTATACCAGTACATACAGCGCCATCTATACCAATATTTTTGTTTTTCCTAGGAAATATCATTTTCTTCCGGAATAAAAAGTACCCTATTATTTAATCCAGACTTCTAACTTTACGTCTGCAAAATTTCAAAGCAATCGGTCTAGTAGTTACGGCGTGAAGGTGGTGTTTGTAAACAAACAAACAAACAAACTCACTTTCCGATTTATAATATAAGTAAGGGTTTGCTGAAACTTGTAAACAGTTTTATTATTTAGTTATTTATGTACTTCATAAACATCTTGGTAATAAATCATTGATTGTTTCAATTAGATCTAACGTTAAACAATAAAATAAAAATATTTATGTCCAACTGCTCGCTTTGAACTGTAGATTCCTATGAAATAGAACAAGCCAATTTTGAAGACGTAATGAAAATAGGAGACTGGCATCCGTACATGTGTGTTATACTGACATATTCCCAAATACCCAATAGGACGGCAACGAACTCCTCAAGTGTTGTGAGTGTCCATGGGCGGCGTTGATTGCTTACCATCAGGTAGGTACGAAGAATAACGAAGACGACGAATTTTGGAAGATGAGCAGATGTTCGTCTGCCGTCCTATGCCATAAAAACACCTATAGTGAATTCCATCTCCCCGTATCTGAAACGTAACGTGTCAGTTTTTTTTATGGCGTAAGCCGGTAAAAGAGCAGACGGATCACCTGATGGTAAGCAATCGGCGTCGCCCATGGATATCTAAAACACCAGAGGCGTTACAATTGCGTAACCGGCTTTTTGGGGATTAGGAGTTTGAGGATCGTTGGGGATTCAGGGATTGGGGAGATTGGGGAAGGGGATGGTAATTAGGCCACCGGTAACCTCACTCACACGACGAAACACAACGCAAGCGTTGCTTCACGTCGGTTTTTTGTGAGGCCGTGGTATCACTCCGGTCGAGCCGGCTCATTCGTGCCGAAGCATGGCTCTCCCACACTTAAAATACTCAGTCTGTCGACGGGTCACCATCGATGTATATGAATCCAACTTAAAACAAAAACGAACCTCAGCACAAAGGGCCAATAAGCTTAATTGTTTCATCCGTACATACATTCCAATTTAACGGACATTGGTATGCCTTTGTTTTAAGAGCATTTTGAAAAATGTTTCAACTTTTGCCCCCGATTTCCTGGTATTATTCAATTTATCTTCGAGGCATCCCTTTATTTTTGGTTGACAGGCTCCAGAGTGGCGTTTACATAAATTGCCCATTAGTACGATGGATGTCCCACTTTATAAGTTTCCTGTTATGTTTACAAAGATATAAGAAAAATGTAAATGTCTCGTTCTCATTACAATAATGCAGATAAGAATTCATCTTCTTGAGGAATAATAATAAGAGCAGTGTCATAATGAGGGTACGTTATTCAATTTTTTTTTCTTTTTGCAGTCATGTCTGTTTATTTATAGGTCAAGGAGGCCTGTCATTTCCACGGTAGTGCTCATGATCATGATCATTTTCTACTAGAAATAAGCGATATTCAGAATGCAAGTTCATCCAATACTAATCTACCGAGCCAAAGCTTAAAAAGGGCGACATAATATGCATTTCTTTCCTTTTTTTCTTTTCCATACAGTAGCTTTTAATTCAACACTCTTATGCCGGAATATTAAGACGTTACTCAATTTTAAGTCCTCAAATATCGTGCCATCTCTGTCATTTTACAAAGAATTTGTAGAGATAGAACTATACTTAAGCACGAATTAAAATTGAGTAGCGTTTTCAGTATTCCGACTTTAGAGTTACCAAATAAAAAAGATCAATTTTATTATTTAAAAGCCTTCTAATAAGACAACACTAAATATATTTTAAAATTACTCTATCTACGCATCAGATTAGAATCCAAACATCAAAATTTGTAGCAATCTGTTCAAATGTTGATCTATTTCTGACGTAGCTGGGTGGCTGTACAATACTGATATTAGTTTTCATGATGGATTGAACGGGATTTGTATTTTCATGTCGTGGGTTGAAGTTTGACCGCTATAATAAATCTGCATTCATTTTATACAACCTACGTTGTGTTTATACGGATTCATAAAATAGGTAATATGACTTTCGTTTGTCTTTAAAAATTTAACGGTGAACGCAACAATATATTTTGTGTTAGTTATGTTTTAAGTTTTGTAATATAACATCATGCCTTAAAAGGCTACCCTTCAGGAATTTGTGCCTGCACATTACACATTAATGCCACTGTACAATGAAATACCCACTTTTCACTATTTATGTTATGAGTCCCATGTAATAGGGGGTGAGCCTATTGCCATATATCGGGCACAATTCCAGACTCCGTGCTACTACTGAGATTTTTTTAAATCCCCTTAATACTTTGCCCTGCCGGGGAATCTAACCCGAGACCCCCTGCCCTTATTGTATTTGCGACCACTCAGCCAACGAGGCAGTATACGTTTTATGTTAGGTATATTATTTTTTGATGAAGCGGAAGAGGTATATAAGAATCGTAGCAATTGGGGTCCATAGTCTCTGCCTTCCCCCATGGGAGATAGGCGAGAGGTTATGTATGTATGTTTTATGTTAGGCATGAATCATCTTACTAAAATTATATATTTAGAAAGTGTGTTTGTTACAAAGTCAAGGTTAAAATCTAAATTTACTAAAAAATCGCGGGTTACTCACATGAATATACTGAGAAAAGCTCTACTAGTTTCGAACCACAGAGGGGTTCTTCCTCATGAGCAGCGTGCGCAGTCGCGGCGAGGTCGCGCAGCCTACTGGCTAGCGTTGGCGATCGCATCGGTGTTGCTACTTGCGCATCTACCTCTATAAGGGCTACTTTGTGACATTAGTATGTCTGACGATAGGTATTATAAAAACACATTTTTGAACATCAAAAAATAAAATGAATTAGTCTATACGCCAGTTCTCAAGTAACATTATTTCTTATTTGCTCGTTACCTGTAAAGTTTCTTATAGAGAAAAATGAGCAAGTTTGTCTTAACCATTACCGAATAACAACGGAATGTTGTACCTAATGAAGTAAAAATCTTAAAACATATCGTGGGATCAAAATCGACAAGAGCGACACCTATATCCATTAGTGATTAAACACTGGCTTATCTTGAAAGTGCGTACTTCTCATGTGGCAGCTCCTTAATACTGAGTCAGCAGATTAGACATAAGCCTTCCTTTAAGTCCTGATTAATGATGAAAAGATATCTCGATTGACTGCTCGACTTTGACTGCCTCGTTGGCCGAGTGGTCGCAAGTGCGACTGCCGGGCAAGGGGTCTCGAGTTCGATTTCCGGGTTGGGCAAAGTAGGTATTACTGGGTTTAAAAAAATTCTCAGTAGTAGCACGGAGTCTGGAATTGCGAATTATATAAATATATAATCTACCGGGTAATTACACTACCGACCCGCCCCGGCCTCGCATGGGTTCAATATTCATGTATTATACATATAAACCTTCCTTAAGAATAACTCTATCTATTAAAAAAACCGCATCAAAATCCGTTGCGTAGTTTTAAAGATCTAAGCATACATAGGGACAGACAGACGGCGGATAGCGACTTTGTTTTATACTATGCAGTGATAAAACTTATTTTTGTTATTTGTTGGAGACAATTCCAGTAACGCCCACCACATACATTCCCTAGTTACATTATTAGACTGTCTGTGATAGGGGTCAAGCATATTACCTGACAAGATGTCCTACTCCAGTCTTCTAGACTTTGTGTGAAACAATTTTCAAATTAAATAGACAAAAAGTCCCAGGTACTTCTAAAAATAAGTAGACGACTACCAATTTAAAGTCTTCAGTCCACTTCTTGTGTCGGGCTACTTATATTCTTAACATAACATAACATCACGCCTTTTATCCTCAAAGGGGTAGGCCGAGGTGCACATTATACCACTGTACAATGTAACACCCACTTTTCACTATTTATGTTATGAGTCCCATGTAATAGGGGGTGAGCCTATTGCCATATACCGGGCACAGTTCCAGACTCCGTGCTACTACTGAGAATTTTTTAAAACCCAGTAATATTTTGCCCGACCCGGGAATCGAACCCGAGACCCCTTGCTCGGCAGTCGCAATTGCGACCACTCGGCCAACGAGGCAGTCTTAATAACAGTGAATATATTCTTAATAACAGTGAATCACTGCCTGCCTGCCTCATTGGTCGAGTGGTCGTAAGTTGTTGCGGCTATTGCTTCACACTTTCAAAACATGGATACATCGGTCATCAGGCAACAATTTGTTAAGAACATACCGCAGTCACCTGCAACATTGTTAATCTCACTCCACTACCAACCTCTTTCCTGTAAGACGACAAATTGAATATACACTTAATTTTGTAATTGGACTTTAATTAACCCCAGAGTATACGGTAAATATATATAAGTGTAACTGCCGGGCAAGGGGTCTCGAGTTTAATTTCCGGGTCGGGTAAAGTGCTGGGTTAAAAAAATCTCAGTATCATATCAGCACGGAGCCTGGAATTGTGCCCGGTGTATAGCAAAGGCTCACCCCCTATTACATGGGACTCATAACATAAATAGCGAAAAGTGGGTGTTACATTGTTCAGTGGCATTAAGTGCCGCAATGTGCACTTCTGTCTACCTCTTCGGAGACCTCTGACTCTTGACTCTAGACTCTACCTCTGCGCATAAATCTCTGATCAAGCATCTAAACATCTGAAAAAAAAACTGAAAGTATCCTAATGTGTCTATTTTTGTAACATAACATTAAAGTATACTAACACTCACCTCGTCATCCTCAGTTTCGTCGTGTGAGTGAGGTTACCGGAGGCCCAATTACCCTCCCCTTCCCCAATCTCCCCAATCCCTGAATCCCTAACGATCCTCAAACTCCTAATCTCCAAAAAGCCGGTAACGCATTTCAACCTGGTGTTCCATTTGTCCATGGGCGACGCCGATTGCTTACCATCAGGTGATCCGTCTGCTCATTTACCGGCTTATGCCATAAAACAAAATAAAAAAAAATATTCTAAACACAAATTCTCCCTTAACTCGTAACAAAATCGTTGTTACCTGTCACTAGAACAGACATCTTTCACATTGTACAGGTTTGTAAAGAACATCAAATTGTCAGAAGGCCTTCGTCACTCCTAACTTTCATTAGGTAATGACGTCACGATCCCTTTTCACAGACTTTCAATTAGCTGGAGTGACAGTGTACGTAAACAGACAATTGAGGGATGTGTCGAGCACGTGGGCGAATGTCTTATAACAGACGCCATTTTGTTTTGTTCATAAAGCATTGTGTTTTGAGTTCTGTACCTACATTTGTTTTGTAAACTGTTATTTATGGCGCGTTCTTTGAATCTTCGGGTGTGTTAGGTTTTTGGTTTTAGTAAGGGATTTTTTATGAGATATCAAGTAGCATTCTTTTAACTATAAAAAGTTATTCACAAAAAGGTAGATTCGTCCATTCGAGTAAACATACTTTCATTTAATTTTGAAACAAAAACTATATTCACATCAAATCAATTTTTTGGTTTCACTATTCATACATATTTTAAATAGGTAGGTACTCTTTAAACAGATAAAAATAATATTTATTTAAAGAAATATATTATCATATATTAACAGTTTCTATATAAGTACATAGTATTAAGAGATAATAAAGGTAACAATAGGTATTGGGCTTCTAAAGTCGCCAATTATAAGTTTACTAACTTTACAATTAAGTGATAAATAAAAACTATACAAACGAACAAGAACAATACAATTTTAGTAACTGAAAAAAAAAGAAACTACTACTTACGAAATTAACATTCTTAAAGGAACATAAAATTAAAGACTTTAATAGAACTTTAAAAACATTGGTTAGAACAAAATTAAACATAAAAAAAAAGAAAAACAGAACACGTTACATAAAGATGAGAATATTAATAAATATATAAAAACAATAATTAAAAATTATTCATACGAGTCTACCTACTGTATAGAACCGAGGTTCGGAGTAAGTCCGTGAGCGTACCTTAAAGAAATTATAAAGTAATTCCATAAAAATGGCGTCGACTATTTTAATTACTGTGTGATGTGTCCTACATATGGGATGGTGATCAAAAGCCTGCCGTACCTTAATGAGTGCGGCCTGACCCAACGTGAGAGGAAAAATTGTTTCATTCACGTTGTGGTCAGCTTTGGAGATTAAGGCACTTTTGCTAATGACCATACCACACCACACTTTAATAAAATCAATACCGAAGATGCATACAACATTAAAATTGTTTGCTTGTATCGTTTTATCCTATGATTCCCAGGTGACAGACTGCCTCATTGGTCGAGTGGTCGCAAGTGCGACTGCCGGGCAAAGGGTCTCGGGTTCGATTCGCGGGTCGGGCAAAGTATTACTGGGTTTTAAAAAAAAATCTCAGGAGTAGCACGGAGTCTGGAAATGTGCCCGGTATATGGCAATAGGCTCACCCCCTATTACATGGTCCTCATAACATAAATAGTGAAAAGTGGGTGTTACTTCTGTGTGCACCTCTGCCTACTCCTTCGGGGATAAAAAGGCGTGATGTTATGTTATGTTCCAGGTGATAAAGGGTGAGGCTATGGTTACGGGTAATCAGATTTTTTTTTAAATTGAAAACATGAATCATATATTCGAATTTATCTTTGTTCGGTTCTACAAACAGACTTATAGAGTAAATAAAAGTTACCTATGTACGTTATTTTTGTAATAACACTATTTCCATTTACACATTAGGTACTCTCTTTGAAATATTCGACTGTCGCAGAAAAGTATTACCTACTTTTGTAACAATATTAAAATAAGTCCTAATAAATCCTCGAGACAAGCATATTTCGCGAATGACAGATTATGATATATGACTGCAACGCACCAATTCAAGCTTTTGGACGATTTTTACATTACACGATACGATAGCGCACGACATCACACGATATGGATGTAAAGGATAATCTTATGACATGGTGATATAATGTCCTTAATGCTGTGGTAGGGTACGGCGTCATTAATACGTTCGATTTTACACCAACGTCGTGATATCTTATACGTATCGATTTCTTTGGGTTGAGATATGTATCTACGTAGGTGTTTTAGTAAATATATGTTTCTTTAAACGTTGCTACCATCCATGCGTGAAAATCGGTGCTGGGTGACTCGTATACATGGCTTGCACTGAGTCGGTAACCCATTTAGCATAGGATGTTAGCGTTTCTTTTCTAAATCATCTGTTTTAATTTTTAACTCAATGTTTATCTTACTTCCACTGTAACACTTTAATTGTATTTTTTATTTATGCTTCATCGTGCCTGTTGCTGATTTTCCTTTCTTTCCTTCTTTCTTTCTATATTGTCCTATTCTGATCATAAAATAGTTCGGAAGTAGGTTTCCAACTAGTCAATTAATTTTTTGTTTTAAAATCAATTGCTAAATGCCTAATGCCTGTTTCGGTTACTTACCATCAGGTGATGCATCCGCTCGTTTATGCCAACACAACATTTAAACATTATATCTGCTGAAGACAGTATAATATCATCCATATTTATCTCCTCAGTTTCCCAATCTCCCCAGTCTCCCAATCTCCTCTATCCCCGAATCCCCCACAATCCTCAAATTCCCCATTCCCAAAAGGCGGTAACGCACTTATAATGCCTCTGGTGTTTCACGTGACCATGGACGGCGCCGATTGCTTACCATCAGGTGATCCGTCTGCTCGTTTACCGGCTTATCGCTTAAGAAATATCGGTAACGTATCGGCGTCGGATCGGAGTGCTTAATGTCCCAAGTAAAGGTGCTTTGCCAACCGGCGTGGTAAACTAATGAGCATAATGTATGAGTGATGGGCAGAACGTGTTAATGAGAGTACGAAGACAGAATGTGACCTATTATTTATTGTAACCATGTTTTAAGACTCAAAAATTGCTTAGTATTTAGTTAGTAAGAGACTGACGCTCCTTTGCCCAAGGTGGGGGAAGCAATTGAATAATTTTCTCCACTTAAAGATACACTAAGACAGGTTTAATACCTGTCTTAGTGTATCTTTAAGTGCCTATTTTTCTATTTTTATATAAACATCAATTTTTATGGTTAATATTTGATTATATCTTCTTTATATATAATAATACCTTTTTTTATGGCATAAGCCAGTAAACGAGCAGACGGATCACCTGATAGTAAGCAATCGGCGTCGCCCATGGACACCTGGAACACCAGAGGCGTTACAAGTGCGTTACCGGCCTTTTGGGGATTAGGAGTTTGAGGATCGTTGGGGATTCTGGAATTGGGGAGATTGGGGAAGGGGAGGGTAATTGGGCCTTCGGTAACCTCACTCACATAACGAAATACAACGCAAACGTTGCTTCACGTCGGTTTTCTGTGAAGCCGTGGTATCACTCCGGTCGAGCCGGCCCATTCGTGCCGAAGCACGGCTCTCCCACACTTAAAAATTGACATACCTACTTGAAATGTATAAACAATTGTGTTTGGTTTACAGTAATAGACCCTTATTTACCTCTATTTCCTAAGAACGTTTGATTAGTACCATATCCCTTAAACATCCGGTCTCAACAAGACGTCATAATACATAACATAACATAACATAACATCACGCCTTTTATCCCCGAAGGGGTAGGCAGAGGTGCACATTTTGCCACTGTACAATGTAACACCCACTTTTCACTATTTATGTTATGAGTCCCATGTAATAGGGGGTGAGCCTATTGCCATATACCGGGCACAATTCCAGACTCCGTGCTACTACTGAGATTTTTTAAAAACCCCAGTAATACTTTGCCCGACCCGGGGATCGAACCCGAGACCCCTTGCCCGGCGGTCGCGCTTACGACCACTCGGCCAACGAGGCAGTCATAATACGTAATATATAATAATAAGACGAAATAAAAACAAGTCAGTAAGAGTCTGACACTCCCTTCCTCCTTAACCAGGTGAGAGAAGTCAAACTTTTTTTTATGGTTACAAATAAAATGTCAGATTTTTTTTCTAGCGATACAAATTCAAGCTTTGCCCTACTTACTTAGACTGATAAAGAATCCAAAAAGTATTATTCTTAGCTTAAATATTACTCACAGATCCTTGTGATAAACTATCGCCTTTGTTACAATGAGAACAACGTAGTTTCACAAACATAATAGCTCTGTCCTCTACTATGAGTTTAAAGTTTATTTGTTGGTACTCGATAGCGAGTACGTATTTTTTTAACTCTTAGTTCCGTAAGTGACCGCAAACGGCGCTGTTAAGCGATATTAAATAATTACGTAAATATTTTTAACTCGCTATTTTTACTTTACCTCTAGCGGTCACTCACGGAACTAAAATTTGTAGTACAAAACATTATGTCGTCGCTACCGAGTATCGACAAATGCAATACCTCTAGAGTGATATAGGAATAGTTTGTTTTATATTTTTTATGACATTAATTATTAATGCGATTGAAGACGTTTGACGCTCTGTTTGGCTTTTTTAAGACACGTTACGATCGTGTCAACGTAAAACAAACTCACATTATACAGATATTAAGTATTTGTCGATACTCAATATCGTCGACGTAATTTTTTGTATTGCAAATTTTAGTTCCGTGAGTAACCGCTAGAGGTACTTTAAAAAATGAGATGTAAAAATATTTACGTCGTCGCTGTCGAGTATCGACAAACATATGTAATAATGTTCTAAACTCATGGTAGAGGCCCTGAAACGTCTCTATTACTCAAACAATACTCTATGAATTGATATAATGAATCTTTGCCGTATTCTCGTGATTTCATAAGTCCAACTTTGTTAGTATTGTTAGTATTAACTTACTGAATGAGTCCCAAGTTTTCTTTAAGTTTCAATTATGTTAATTAAACGTTTGAAACACTAGTTTACTAGATAGAGCTACTAATGAAATTTTGCTTTGAAATTCGAGTTAGATAATTTACATATACGTAATTTGGTTTGTTCGTTGTGTTGCGGTAATGTTTTGATTTATATGTTTATTGTTTCATTGTATTTTGTTTTGATTCAAAGTTCGGTGTTGTTTTTTTAGAATAGAGGGTGTCTTGGCTGGATGCCGTATAGATAAAAAAAATTAGCGCTAAGAGTTTTTGACAAGCTATCAATTCTTCTATGAGATTTATTTTTGTATAAGTCGGCTAATGAGCTAATGGGACGGATAACTGAAAGGTGAGCAATTGGCGCTACCCGAAATGCCGCCGGGCAACAGGAGGCGTTACAAGTAAAAATAAATGAGTTAACTATTATTATCTTACGTTAATAATTTCTTCATATAAGTTAAAAACATCACCATGCTGATGGTTCCTCGAAAGGCTGAGCAAAGATATTGCTTATGGTAACATTACTCTCTTAATAATTTACACTTTTGTCCCCAAACTCCTATTTATTAAAACGATGTAACAGCTTTTCCACAATTGTTGCCAAATGATGGCATTAAAAAATCTCATACGAGTTAATAGCTATCATATAAAACGTGGAACACATTTGGTAATACCTATTTAATTAACTTTTACACCGATATACAGTACATTATACCCGAGCGTACAGCGAGTCGGATTCCGCGCGAGCCTTAAACAGCCATCAGACCACCACAGATGGGGCCTAATAGGGCCTGATGCCGATTTTTTTTATAAGGGGAAAAATCATCGAATGACTTCTCCCGCCTAGGTGAGGCAGGAGGGAGTATCAGGCTCTTACTGACTAAAAACCACCCCGTTCCTACTCCTAGGCAACCTCACAAGTTCTAACCAAAATTTGTTTTTCAAAAGTACATCCGTACTGAAAAAACGTATGTTTGTCCGTCCATCACAGAATGCGATGTCAAAATAAAATAGCCGGACACTGCCATGCCATGAAAAGCTGTGCATTTATTTACCATTTTATATTTTTTACTTCAGCTAAAGCTTTTCAAAAAATGGCTGTCAAATCGGTTCTAAATCGGACAGTGGGTATTTTATTTTGTGTGCTGTCTGCACGTTTGGCGCTCTTGTTGAGTGATTGGTTGTTGGATGTGTCTCGTATTTGCTGCCCATATAGAACAAATTAATCCATCCAAATTGTGTAATCCGAAAAGACTTGTAGCGACGACAATGCACCGCATAGGTTTTGCAACGTTGCATTTATGCAACGTAGGGCAGTCACGGGCTTGTCGGGTTGCAAGTGGGTCGCGCACATTGTATTTAGCCTAAGTATTTTTTGGTTATTATATGGAGTGGAACTTTGTCGTATCTTTTAATTACAACCCGAACCCGTGTCTCAACAGACTCAATCGAGTTGACTTTGACGTCGTTAGTTAATTGAAAAAACGTTAATTAATCTAAGAACAACGCTTGCGTTGTGTTTCGTCGTGTGAGTGAGGTTACCGGATGCCCATTTACCTTCCCCTTCCCCAATCTCCCCAATCCCTGAATCCCCAACGATCCTCAAACTCCTAATCCCCAAAAAGCCGGTGACGCATTTGTAACGCCTCTGCTGTTCCAGGTGTCCATGGGCGACGCCGATTGCTTACCATCAGGTGATCCGTCTGCACGTTTACCGGCTTATGCCAAAAAAAGAAAGCAATGCGCACAACCTGTAAAACTTAGGGTGTGTATTGCATGTAATTAAATTGATTGAAAATTATTTCAACTGCCTCGTTGACCGAGTGGTCACAATTGCGACTGCCGGCAAGGGGTCTCGGATTGGATTCCCGAGTCGGGCAAAGTATTTACAAAAAATCTCAGTAGTAGCACGGACGGGGTCTGGAATTGTGGCCAATATAGGGCAATAGGCTCCCCCTTATTACATGGGTAGTGAAAAGTGGGTGTTATTGTGCAGTGGCATTGTGCCGTAAATGTGCACCTCTGCCTATCCCTTCGGGGGTAAAAGGCGTGATGTTATGGAAATTATTTTTAACCGCACTAGGGCTCTTGGGCGGTAGCGCTGATCGTTTTGCCATCAGGTAACTCGTCTACTAGTTTGCTCCTGATTCTATAACAATGATCAGCTTTAACTTCGGTGACCGTTCAACTTACATTTCGGTGACCGTGAACCATCAAGTGACACGAAAGCTTTGTCGCTATTTTCAGTAGTAAAAAAAACCTATAAGATACTACTTGCTCTAAGTTAGTGGCGACTGGCCGTAAAGGGTGACAGATGACTGTTTTATTTCAGTCCGCGAGCACTGCGCTGTGATTGCAGTTACAAAGAACACTAGAGGTATAGATATAGCCGCTTGTTCCACCAAGAATGCACCGCAACTACTTATCACAAAGCATAGAACACAGAAGTAAAATACCATACATTATTTATATTACTACCATTGTTGCTTTTTTTTTTGAGGGGGACAATCATCGAATGACTGCTCCCGCCTGGGTGAGGCGGAAGGGAGTGTCAGACTCTTACTGACTAAAAACCACCCCGTTCCTACTCCTGCACGTCGAGCCGGAGCCCCGGTTACCCGTTAGGTTCTCCGCGACTACCATTGTTGCTTGACACCTTATTTTGGTTCTTTGTATTACATGTTAGTTAGAAAACAGGTTTGTTCACGGTGTTTAAGTAGACCTTCATCCGGTAAGTAAATAGATCACCATAACTAGTGAAAGGTTAGTTTTCTGTACGCATCCAGGTCATCTTACTGTTCCCAGCTGGGGGCGTATGGTCGCACAATACAGGCCGATGCTTATCTCGCTGCCTGCGACTGCAGGAGCTCTCCTGCTGTCGCAGGCATCGACACGATACCATAACCACACGATGCTGATAACCACTCGGTTAGAGCAGTCGGGCCTCTTACAGGCTCGATGTGGTGTCAAGTCAAAGTCAAAGCATTTATTTCAATTAAACCATAGTTTGGTACTTTTGAAACGTCAGAAAAATACAAAATAAATAATAGTCTATCAGTCAGTACGTCAGTGAAACTAGGTGAAGCTAGGTGCTCATTCCAAAAAGTAGATTCGAATGGAGAAGAACGAGCAAGAAACTCCATTCGTTACTCTTTTTAAAAAACGTAAGTTCTACAATGTCTCTGATACATATTTCAATACTGTACGCATGTGTAAGAACAATGCAAAGACACGCTTGACGCATTATACTAATACCTTACTAAAATTAAAAAAAAATAAAAATCTTAAAGTAAGTCTGATGGTTTGCGCCGCTAGCAGCCGCGGTCAAGTCGTGGCGAGCCCAGTGAGCTGCAAGCTGTTAGCGGCGCGTGATAGTTTTCTGTTTTCTATATTATAACTTATGTCCATAATACTGCACGGTTCGCGCAGTGGGTGGGCAACTGGCTGCCGTACAACATGTCGCGGTTTCGATTCCCGCACGTAACAACTCTTTGTGTAATCCACAAATTATTGTACCAGGTTTTTTTAAGGGGGGAAAATCATCGAATTTCTTCTCCCGCCTGGGTAATGCGGAAGGGAGTGTCAGACTCCCTTTGACTAAAAACCACCCCGTGCCTTCCGCACTTCGAACCGGAGCCCTGGCAACCCGTTAAGTACTCCGCGGCTCCGTATCGGCATCAGCCCTATTGGGATATTATACGGATGGGGATCCGTGGTGGTCTGATGGCTCTTAAAGGCGCGCGCGATACGCGACGCGCCGTATGCTCGGGCCTGGTTCTGGTCGTGCGGCGAATTACCCATTCTCACCGTCCGCAGGCCCGTGCTTACGGTGGCTGGAGATCGTACCGCGATCCCCGACGCCCGAAGTGTCCTTCGCGACGGCTGGGTTGTGAGCTGATTATTCCGGGTCTGGGTGTCATGTGTATGTGAACTTGTATGTTTGTAAACGCACCTACGGCACAGGATAAAATCCTAGTGTGGGGCAACGTTTTTTTAAATAGAAATATTATCTAGCCTTTTGAGGATTACCAGTACATTCAACTGAATTGTTTTAGTGATAATTAACCGCGTAAAATAAATAGAAGTAGAAGATTTGTTATTCGGTAGGTACCCATGCCTAGGCAAAATGGAAATGCACAAAAAAGTAAAGTAGAACTTCTTTAAAAATCCTTTATAGTTTACAAAGGAACTTTTTCTTGGAGTGTGAGTCTTCTGTATTTTATTGTTGCTTGTTACCATTGTTTCCAGTGTTCTACTCATAGCATGTCATTCGTTCTGGCCTATTTTAAAAATTACTACTCTTATATAGACCTAAATACAGGAATAGGAAAAGTTACAGTGCGATTTATTCCGGTTTTAAATCATTAGTGACTACCTCTTTGGAGATTGATTACATACGCGTTGGTATCTCTATTCCATAACAAAACTAAAAATTGTATGACAATAAAACATCTACTTAGCCCGCCGGTTAGATAATGAATAAATATTAGACACAATATTTTTTTTTGTTTTGTCGTATAAGAAAACAATACTTAGACAAAACGAATCTTTAAGAGAAAGCTAATGACGTCATTTCTACGTATAAAACGTACCTAGAAGTGACGTCACATGAGATTTCAAACCAATATATCAACAAAAGTATTTGTTTCTGTAAGAAAATAAAAATTGTACGTGGAATGTGTTAAAATAATCTACCAGAGGGCATTAAACTAAAAATTAACAATCTATTAGTAAACATTACCAGTTATTCATCTGTTTACTAATAATTTTAAGTTCCAAGTTTTCATTAACATTCCTTTCATTTCATTAACATTCCTAATCCTCAAAAGGCCGGTAACGCACTTGTAACGCTTCTAGTGTTTAAGGTGTCTATGAGCGATGCCGATTGCTTACCACCAGGTGATCCGTCTACTCGTTGACCAACTTATTCTATAAAAAAATTCCAGTGACCCATTTAAAAGACTGTACTTACAATAGAGTACAAAAATCAAATAATTTTAAAGTACCGCATACACTAATGGACTTCGAAGTCTTCCTAAAAGCCTCTTAAAATAGACGTTTCTGTGTTACAAGGACTTTCACTACATTCCCTTTTCTTGAACAAATAGAATTTTTCAATACTTGCATCGAATGAGGTAGATTTTAAGTTATTATGGTTTATTTATTTTATAGGGTGTCAGCAACTTATGTCTATTATAGGAAAAATTATCTATATTTTATTTTTCAATTAAAGGTTTTATCACGAAGAGCCGATTAGGTGTGCGTTGGTGCATCTGCTTCCGCGGCAGAGGCCCTCAATCGGCGTAAATATTCAAATCTAGTGGGTAACTACTGTTTTGAGCCGTTTGGAGTCGAAACACTTGGGCCATGGGGTCCCAGTGGTACACTCTGTGTTTAAAGACATCGCCCGTAGGCTAATCGACTCTACACGTGACCAGAGGGCTGGCTTTTTCTTCGGACAGAAAATAAGCATTGCCATTCAACGTGGCAATGCTGCCAGTCTTCTGGGAACTTTCCCCTGTGATAGTGATGCGGACGAATACTTTGACGCCTAAATTAAGGGTATAATTTTTGTTGTTTTTTTTTACTTTCTTTTTATTTAATAGTTTAGTTGTAGTTAATTTTAAGTTGTAAATATTTATGTAGTTATATAAATTATGATAATTAAATAAAAGTCATGTACTTTCTACAATTATTTAGACATCACTGACAGACAGTAAAGGATAACATTAGGTGTTAAAACATATGTTAACATTTGTTGTACGTATATTTTTGGTCGCTAGTAAAGCTATGGCTATTTTTTTTGTCAAAATTCTCAACACGGATTCGTGTCTACAAAGAAGAAGTAGGAAAAAATAGTGACCTCGAATATTGATACGATGCCACTTTTTAGACGTGCATTGGCACGTGAACTTCTGCATTTCTTCATTACCATTGGCCTTTATTGATAAAATTCTTATAATAACACAACATTTTCTGATCAGATCAAAACGTATCTTAATCTAATTAAGAAATAAAGCTCATAATCCGTTTATGGCTCTAATAGAGTATTTAATACTTGAAGTTATTTGCGACCCGTAACGCCGTCAGTAATTAGTAGACCATTTTATCGTTCATTCAACACACCTAATTGCTAAAGTTCTTAATCCCATGATACTTTTACTACAAATAAATGCCATGGTAATCTATTGGTTGCAGGTAAGATTACTGAACTTGAAATTAAGACTTCAAAGTCAAAGTCAAAGCATTTATTTCAATTAAATCATATTTTGGTACTTTTGAAACGTCAATAAATACAAAATAAATAATAGTCTGTCAGTCAATCCGTCAGTAAAGCTAGGTGAAGCTAGGTGCTCATTCTTTCTCTTTATCTCTCTATTATTCAATGATTGAGTTAAAGGTTTAAATAATTAAATTCTACTCCTAAACCTTAGTCTCCACCAATAACTTAATAGGACTTACAGAAACTTCCAGAGTGACAGAAAAGGATAGTTTGACCTCCTGGCCTCCCTACCTTACCCCATTCAAACCACTTTACACATGAGTCCCAGGGAAATATCTAACATTTTCCCGCGTGATAATAAAAGGAGGTCAGTGATAATATTGTGACGCAACGATCCCAGATTTACTGATATGAAACCTCCTTGGAGGGGACTGGCCACTTTGTGATTCAAATTGTGACCCTCCCAGTGCATAGAACATCTTCAATATTCCCCCTTTCAAAATTATTCGTAGAATATTATACTATAGGTACTCTTAGAATATTGTACACTAAATTATGATTGTTTGCCACTTTTCAAGACGCATAATATTTTTCTATGAATATTGTGTTGCATTTATATCGGTTGTTGTATGTTGATATTTTGTGATAAACATGATTTTGTGTATTGTACTTTTTGTTTTTGAATTTATTTTGATTTTATCAATCAATACAACACTATTTACTTTAAGTATTTGATTTTAGATAATTGTGGCTATAACGTTTCTAGCAAAGCATCTATTTTTGTATCCTATATGACACTAAAATAGATAAGCATCTATTTGGAATGAATCTATATGTAATCTATTTTATGATTTTTACAAGCGTTTATAATTAACATTAATTATCAGGAGGAGGAATATCATCTAGACTAGATTATATTTTGTTAAACAATTTAGCTAACTAATCAGTCTAGATTAGTTTATTTTGTATTCAAATATAAACTTTGAACTTCTACTTTCAAGGTCTAATTTGTAGTATACATATATTGTTAAATCATCTTAATATATGTATATTACAGATGGGGCCCAATAGGGCCGATGCCGATTCGGAGTCGCGGAGAACCTAACGGGTAACCGGGGCTCCGGCTCGACGTGCAGGAGAAGGAACGGGGTGGTTTTTAGTCAGTAAGAGTCTGACACTCCCTTCCGACTCACCCAGGCGGGAGCAGTCATTCGACGATTTTCCCCCGTTAAAAAAAAAAATTATGTATATTCTAACTCCGACGCACTAGTCTGATTGTGTAATGAAAATGTATTCTCGTACATATCACTACGTCTATCGGGCTTGGGGATAGCCTGAGACAATAAAATGCCATACTTTATTGGAATTATGCATGTTGCGCTATAGAGTCTTAGGTCTACTACTGATTAACAGATTTATTTATTTATTTATTTATGTACACACATACAACATAAAGGACAACACATACATAAGATTAAAGTACAAAGGTATATATTTAAATGCGACTATCAAGGAAGAGGCTCCTAAATTCCAACATAACATAACATAACACGCCTTTTATCCCCGAAGGGGTAGGCAGAGGTGCACACTACGGCACTGTACAATGTAACACCCACTTTTCATTATTTATGTTATGAGTCCAATATAATAGGGGGTGAGCCTATTGCCATATACCGGGCACAATTCCAGACTCCGTGCTACTACTAAGATTTTTTTAAAACCCAGTAATACTTTGCTCGACCCGGGAATCGAACCCGAGACCCTTTGCCCGGCAGTCGCACTTCCGACCACTCGGGCAAGTATGAATTCCAATAGGTATGTAAATAATAACATAAATTTTGTGCAGGTTCGATAAATCTGAAACCTTCTAACAAAGATGCCGCGAAGACGAAGTAGCTCCACATGATTCTGACAAAGAAAACAAAAACGTAATAAATTACATACATAACTTCACGCCTGTCTCCCATGGGGGTAGGCAGAGACTAAGGAACGCCAATTACTACGATTCGTACCTCTTTCGCTTCATTAACAGTCATCAATCTTTTCATGCATGCTCGTCGGTTAAAGTAATAAATTATTATCCACAAAAACTGTGAAAACCATATTAGAGGTACACTTAAAATCCCAATTTTTATGAGTATAATGTTCTCGCCGGAGATGAGAAATGAGCTTCAATTTCGTCACTTTGTCGTAAAAGACAATTTTATTCAAAAAATCCCTTTTTCCGAAACGATTTTTACCACAAAATTTACGCTCTCGTTAATTTTTCAAGTGTTTGGGCCTCCAAAATAATGCTAATACCCGCTTCTGAGTTGGTTGGTGTGTAATCTGGCTTTGTTCAAAGATTACATCAATACTAATTCATGCTTGTTGCTCTGCTTGTGTTAATATTCCTTTTGTCAAACTAATAAATGATTTATATTATAACTAGCTTTTATCCGCGGCTTCGCTCGCGTCACAAAAGGATAAAAAGTAGCCTATGTGACATATACCAATACATAGAGCGCCATCTATACCAATACTTTTGTTTTCCCTCGGGAATATCAAATTTTTCCGGGATAAAAAGTACCCTATTATTTAATCCGGACTTCTAACTTTACGTCTGCAAAAATTCAAAGCAATCGGTTTAGTAGTTACGGCGTGAAAGCGGAACAAACAAACAAACAAACTCATTTTCCGATTTATAATATAAGTAAGGAAGTAAGGATTTTCGTAAGATATATTAAGTTAATTATTGTATTTTTCGGCTGACTCACGCTTCCTAGAAGCT